ACTCAATGGAGGGCTAAATTAGAGAGGACTGGCAATTTTATACATGCCCCTGACCATAATGATTGATAATCATAATGTTATTCTCGCTGTCATACGAAGTACCGAATACATGGAGTTTAGTCGGGAATAAGGATTACAAACACCATTTTATGTACGTGCACCGGAGATTACCCTTAGATGACCGATCCAGAGAACTTTAGATCTGTTGTCAGTGTCGGGTGGGTGAAGCTTCGGTTAAGGTACCGAGTCCGATTCGTGGAACGTCCGACTGTGGGCGGGTCCGAAGTTTGTGCCAGGCCTCTTGTGCACATTTACTTTATGAGAGATTTTATACATTATGTTGCCTAGGTATTCATGGAGGATTATGTATAGTTATCTAGTTAGTTAATATTATATTAGTAAGATAGTCAGCCTCCTTTACGAAGTAGAATACGCTAGAAATGAAGCGATAGGACCTTGAGAGTCTGGGAAATTTCAAATGTCAGAAAACCTTGGGTAGCCAAGTGAACCAATCAGATCGATGCCGCATACCCGAGTAGCTCAACATAAAACATTCATAAATCACGTGGCGCAAAAACGTGGCTGCAAACAGATAGGCCCTAACATTCATGGGCTTCGGTTACCTTCAAGGCTGCATCTGCATCTTTACCTCTGTACGACGTATAACCATTTAATTCACCTTGGAAGTACACCAAATATAGGTATGAAGTTAGTATGAAATTATAAAATAGATGCTCCAAAAACAACATAATCAAGGAAAGGGTCCAGAACCCAACATCCGTCAAAAAAATCTTGTCCGGGTTCGGGGCCCACCTATCCCACCCAAGCAACGGAATCCACTTATGCGTACTTTATCTGCATAGATCCCATTCATAACCCCGTAACCCCCTTTATATATAGAGGCAGCTCCATCCCGAGGTCTCCAAGTCTCATTCCACTAATATTCCTCGGCATCCCTTCTCCCCGCAAACCCTCCGAGATCCCCACCCATCCTTCGTCCTAATTGGCATATACGACTACCTCGGATACTATCAACCTATCAACTACATATCGCAATCTCAATTCACTACCTGCCCACCATGGCAGCTGACTCGGAACCTCAGGTCTCGGATAAGATCGAGTCCTCTGCCCCAACAAAAATTCCATACTGGCGTTTGGTCTTCGACCAGGGTGTCGTCACACAAGAGATCATTGATCACCCATACCCCGGTTCAGGAACAGATGAGGACCCATTTGAAGTAACATGGATTCCAAACGACCCTCGTAACCCCATGAACTTCAGCGAGACGAAGAAATGGACTTTTACCATGCTGGTGGCCGTCGCAACATTGGCCGTTTCCCTGGTATCATCTGCCTATACCGGTGGTATTAAAGAGATCATGATGCAGTTTCACATCGGGCAAGAACTTGCCACTCTTGGTGTTTCGCTTTTCGTTCTCGGATTCGCGGTAAGACCTCGACTCTCTAGACATTGGCTCTTGAGCTTGTGTAAAATGTTTTGCATGCATACTAACGTTATTTGCTTTGATATAGATTGGACCATTGCTTTGGGCTCCACTGAGTGAGCTGTTTGGCCGCCAAGTCCTCTTCATTACTACCTATGCCGCTCTTACAGCTTTCAATGCTGGCGTCGCAGGTTCTCAAAATTCCTGGTCCATCATCATTTGTCGGTTCTTCGCCGGTTCCTTTGGATCCTCGCCGTTGACTAACGCTGGTGGTGTCATTGCCGATATGTTCCCCGCTAAGCAGCGAGGTGTAGCTATGAGTTTGTTCGCCGCCGCACCTTTCCTTGGTCCTATCATCGGCCCCATTGCTGGTGGATTCATTGGTATGAGTGACGGCGGCTGGCGATGGGTTATGGGTTTCCTTGCCGCCTTTTCTGGTACAGTTTGGATTATCGGTTCTCTGACGATCCCCGAAACCTATGCCCCCGTGCTTCTCCGCCGCCGTGCGGAGAGACTCTCAAAGCTGTCGGGAAAGATTTACCGGAGTAAGCTTGAGATCGATCAAGGCAAGGTATCTCTTAAAGACTCCTTCAAAGTGTCACTGTCCCGTCCTTGGGTTCTTTTGTTCCAGGAGCCTATTGTGTTCTTGCTGTCACTCTACATGGCTATTGTTTACGGTACCTTGTATATGATGTTCGCCGCCTTCCCCATTGTCTACCAGCAGTCCCGCGGCTGGAATCAGGGTGTGGGTGGCCTCGCCTTCCTCGGTATCATGATCGGCATGTTGATTGCCGTCATCTACTCCCTCTGGGATAACAAGCGCTACATCGGGACGTCCGATAAACATAATGGATTCGCACCCCCGGAGGCACGTCTCCCCCCTTGCCTCATCGCATCCGTCGCAATCCCAATCGGCCTATTCTGGTTCGCATGGACCAACTACCCCTCAATCCACTTCATGGTCAGCATCGCAGCCGGCGTCCCCTTCGGCTTCGGAATGGTCCTCGTCTTCCTCAGCATCATGAACTACCTCATTGACTCCTACACCATCTTCGCCGCCTCTGTACTTGCTGCAAACTCCGTCATCCGTTCCCTATTCGGTGCCGCGTTCCCCCTCTTCACCACCTACATGTATAAGAACCTGGGTATTCACTGGGCATCCTCGATCCCAGCCTTCCTGGCACTCGCCTGCGTGCCCTTCCCATTCCTGTTCTACAAGTACGGACCCGCGATCCGCACCCGCTGCAAGTTCGCCGCTCAGTCTGAGGCATTCATGCGCAAGCTCCAGGAGCAGGTTTTTGCCCCGCCGGCGGCAGAGGAAAAAGTGGAGTACGATCGCACAGAGGCTCCTGCCCCCGAAGGCTCACTCTCTAGCGAGTCTCACGACGGTGTTGACGCACTCCCCACGGAGCGAATTCGCAGCCGTGCGCAATCTGTTGCTTCCAATCGCACTGGTGCCTCGCTGACTCGCTCGGTTACCTATGAGGGAAACCCGTATGATATCGACCGTGTCCACACCCGTGACTCCTTCAAGCAATAGACGGTTGCTGAGCAGCTCGTTTATATTCCTCTCATCCTACCATATTTTGTCCGGACTTGTCATACCTATACATGTCTGTGTCACTAATCATAGTTTCTATTGTCCCCTTTTTCATGTCACCAAAAAAAAGTACGCTGCATGATGTGTCTTTGTTTTTACTTTGATACCCGTTCATATCATACTGAGGGCAACCTCATTCAACTAATGTTTTTATGGGATGCATTACATAGAGCCGGAGTTTGGGTTTTCTCACAAATATAATTTTATTTTTGGCACTTCTTTTCCAATAAGTTTCTTCGATAAATAATAAAGTAAATCACTACATAATGAAAGCAATAATCGGAACCTGCATCCGGGACTGATCTGAAAAGTCGGAGTTTAACCCGCTTTTCGGGTCTTATCGCCACAATCCCCGAGGTTGGATTTTTGGATTTCCAAGCGTATTGTTTTCCAATTCTGGCAATCTTTCCACATCCACTTTCAAGTCATTCTTTTGTACATAATTAGATGTCATCTTGGACATGACCCTCCTCCGAAATGGCCTCTTATCCAGGGCCCCAACCTCCCCTTCAACCTCCACCTTCCGCCGACCGATAACCCCCAGATCCCAACCCCAGATATTGCGCCGACCACGCCCACAACGCCGATACAACTCAGACTCCTCCGCGGGGAAGACGCCCGCCGAAAGAAATACCACATCTGCAAACCAACCACACTCGCACCATTCAAACGCCTCAACTCCACCTAAGCTCCCAGACACAACTCCCGCCGCTACAGCCGCAGCCGCAGCCGGGGCAACGACTGCACCCGTTCGTCGCGGATTCCGCGAGGTGATAAAGGCCGGTCCGGTCGGGAAGTTTGGAAGATGGTATGCGCGCGTACAGGATCGCAAGCCGTATGCAACGCAGTTCTGGAGCTCGATTGTTATTTACCTATGTGGTGATCTGAGCGCGCAGATGCTGTTTCCTTCTGAGGTTCCTGCGCCTGCGAAATCGGACGCCAAAGATGGGGATGGGGCTGTGCAGGGGGATGGAGCGACTGTCAGCGCTGGGTATGATCCGCTTAGGACTCTGCGGCATTTGTGTGTTGGCGCTGGGTCGAGTATTCCTTCTTATAAATGGTATGTTCTGTGATAAGGGATTTGGTTATGCGATATGCGACCAATAATTTCTATCAGATTGATACCATGTGACAGATATCTGTATGTGTATGTACTTGTTAACTGACACCGCTCTCTATTAGGTTCATGTTCCTCGGAAACTATTTCAACTACCCGAGCAGGTTCCTCTCGATCCTGACGAAGGTTGTTGTGCAGCAGACATGCTTCACACCTGTCTTCAACACGTACTTCTTCAGCGTGCACTCTCTTCTCGCTGGTGCGACGCTTGAGGAGACCTGGGAGCGATTGAAGAAGGCTCTCCCTGTTAGTATCCAGAACAGTGTTAAGCTCTGGCCGGCTGTTACTGCGTTCAGCTTTATGTACGTGCCGCCGCAGTTCCGGAACGTCTTCTCCGGGTGCATTGCGGTTGGCTGGCAGACTTATCTGAGTTGGTTGAACCAAAAGGCTGCGAAGGAGGTTGCGGCTGCTGAGGCACTTGCTGCAGCAGAGGAGATGGGTGCTGGCGTGTTGCATGCCGTTTCTGGGGGGGGCTATGATCTCTGCTGGGACTGCATGAATGCACGAGAAGTAGATTTAGAATGTGTTGAGGCTGATTGGATGTATATATATTTATAGATCCCTGCCGAATACTGGTATTGGGATGTTTTTTTTGTTTTTTTTTTGGAGCGATGCATGGGATACCAAGAGCAATTACTTAGATCAATAGACTTCAGTCTCTTTCGTTAACTTGTTCTCTATGTAGTATATTTTATATATATCCTCTGTGTTTGTATAATTACCAAGTATGTGATGGCCAGCCAGTAAGAACAACGGGATTCTTAAAGCAACTCACATGGCAATGACGCACCCGAACATCAACTCGATCTACACAACATGATCCCCTCCAGTCGCAGGCATGTCCTGCCCAGAGAGAAATGAGGAATCTGACTACGGATCAGACTTCACTCCAGATGAAGAGGATCTACTAAACGATTTGTTGAACAAAGCCGTCGCGGAACACGCGACCGACCCCGACGCCACTTTCATCTCGACACCAATTTGGATCTCGACCCCAACGCCCATCGAACACATCACGTCGCCAAAATCCCCAGACCTCGTTGATCTCGAGACCTTGCAGCCTGAAGCTCTAGCAGCACTCGTTGCAGATATCGAGGATGGCATTGAGCCAGCTCGCGTTCGGTCGCCTAAGGTGCTGGGTCGGGAAGGGCCTCGCTCGCCATGGCGGCAGTCGCAGCCTCGACCAGGCCAGGCCGTTAGATGGGGTGCGGGTGCGAGTTCAGCGGGGAAGTCAAGTCCGCGCGCTGGCAACAGCAACAGGTACAGCCCGTTTGGTATGCTTTTTCATCTTTCCCTTTACCCTTTGCCGTTCATCGTCCACATTTTCCTAGTGGGTTGGTCCTATTACATCCAACCCGAATTAAGCTGACGACATCTTCTCCCAAGCGTTTAGTCGAGAACTCTAATTCAACCGAGGGCCGAGTAAAAGAACGCGAGCGCAATGCAGCGCGCGCTCTCGAATGGACACAACAGGATCCCGAAGCCGCAGCGCTCGATACTCGATCCCCCGTCGAACGGTTCCGGCAAGCACCCAACAAAGCATTCTCAGTGACGGATCTCGTTTCGCCAGCTTGGTGCGAGCTGCAGTACTGGTTCACGTTGACAAAACATGGGGGGCAGAAGAAGAGGACTGCTGCGATGAAGAAGGGAAGTTCCATGCACAAGAGTCTCGAGGATGAGATCTACACTACCGTCCCTGTGGAAATCACGACTAAAGAGGATGCGTGGGGTCTCAGGATATGGAATGTCATTCAGGGCCTGCGTATGCTGCGCGATTATGGCGTTACGCGTGAGATGGAGGTTTGGGGCGTTATCGATGGGGAATTTGTCAATGGCATCATTGATCAGTTGTCCTATGAGTGTCCCGACCCGGAGCTTGAGGCTACTGCTGCTGGGTACTATGCGGATATTGTAGCGTCGCGCGCTGCGCTTCCGGAGTATCAGATGTCCTTGTCAGACTTTTTGCTTTCTTCTTCGCAAGGCGGGATGAAGCTTTCGGACTTTGGTCAAACTGAGGCTGAGCAAACGGGGCACGTTGAGCAGGAACTGCCTGCGGCGGTCTATGACCTACGCCGGATATATTTAACAGACGTGAAGACTAAGGGTAACCGATCACTACCGAACGTCAAAAGCACGGGGTTCCGGCCTACTCTTCTCCAGCTGCAACTCTACTACCATATGCTCAACCGGATGATCACGAGCGACGATGTCACTATTGACCTCCTTGCCGCTCGGTATGACTTTGACGCAGAGAAGCCGTTCACGAACGCCTTCGTCTCGGAGGTTGGCGGCCTGAACGACCAGTACTTCGACGCTCTCTCTTCACAAGAATCTGAACATAATGAGGGCCCTTCTATTGATAGCCAGGACTCAACCAGAATCCTACTGACACACAACAACCTCTCCCGTCTTTGGGGTCTTATGATACAACAACTCCGCCTCACATTCCTCCCTGAAAACTCTCCTGACACACCATCCGTCGCACCATCTATCCCATCAGTTTCCCAGCCAGAGCTCTTGGAACCTTACTCAACCCTCCTTTCGCCGGTTCTCACAGCTCGGTACCTTTCATCTGCCGCCAACGAAGACATAAAAAGACAGCTCATCGGAACTCGATCTTTCCTCTTCGATCCGACATCCCTCACCTCCCACCTCAACGACCAGATGACCTGGTGGCGCGGCGAGCGAGATCCCCGCGGCGTGGAGATCATGGACGCGTGGAAATGCCGGATCTGCGAGTTCCGCGACGAATGCTCTTGGCGGGAGGAGCGTGAGATGGCTTATGCGAGACGAGGTGGAGGTCGGAGAGCTGGGCCCATTGCGGATATATGATTGGTCTTAAGTCTGAGTTATATTTAACGCGTTCAGCGAGAGTGCATAGATATGGAGTTGGTTACCATTGAGCATGTTCACTACATCCATCTTGCACCTGTCGAGGTCATTTTAATCCAGTGCTGATATACTGGCGACCAGACATTGCAATATTTGCATCTAATAGTTCCAACATCGGAAAGAAAAATCTCCAAATAATCGAATACATGAAAGAAATCATTCATAAAACGCCCTAACTACATTGCCCTCAAAGAGGATACCTCCTAACCTCATCCTCCTTCTCAACCTCCAACCCCCCTCAACCTGCGCTCGATGCTTCTCATCCAAAAATTCCAACAAAACATCCTGATACTTCTCTTTCCCCTTGTACCGACTAACATCATCCCCCCAACTCCTAACCGCATCCGCCAACCTCCCAGGAACATAAGGCTCCTCAACAATGGCAGTAACAGGCTCAAAATAAGTCCGAATTGTAAAAACCACCGCCCCAGATCTGGGCAATCTCCTCAACGACTGCCTCTCCGAGCGAAAGAAGTGATTCTCAATAGCCCGATTCTTCTCCGCCGTATTCCACGACACAGTCTCCGCATCCTCAGGCCCAATACTCTCCGACCACGCCAGGTTATCATCCACCTGGATGAAATAATTATTCCGAAGAACAGGCTCTTCGGGCCGTAATCGTCGGAAGAAATTCATCATCCCTTTCTCCAGCTTACTCTTGAACTGTGGTACATCGCCTGATGTGTGGATTTCAGACAATCGCATCCCGAATTTGTCGCTCAGTCGCCAGAACCCGGCTAATAGGATCGAGCCTGCGAGTAGGTAGTATTCGCCGTCTGGGCGCTCGATCATTAGCGCTAGGTCGTCTTGAACTAGTCGCGCAGCTGTTGCCATTGGGTCTTCGGGGAGTGGGCGCTGGGTTATGTTGAAGGTTTCGTTGGTTACTTTGTTGGTTATTCCCGTTGTGGTTTTGGTGAACATGCTTGGGTATCTTTCGGGGAGGTAGGCGCATCTGGTGGGAGGGGATGTTAGGAGGAGGGGTGCTCTTGGATATGTGGTGTGTATATTTTGAGTGCTCTTACAGTTCTTCGAGTAGTTCGATTGCAGCGTCCATTGCCTCTGGCGCTGTATGACAGCATTTGCTACCGCGCTCTTCGATGCGGCGTGCTTTATCGGCGTGGTATTTTAGATAGTGGTTGTCGAGCTCTGTGTTTGGAGTATAAGAGATCAATAGGCTGCTGGGATTTGACTTGAAGATCGACTCACCGATCCATTCGTCCCATTTCATGCTTCTTAGACCCAGCGTGATGTAGTATTTTCTGTTAGAGTTAGAAAGGGTTAGAAGACGGCCAGCAATATCTCCAATGGATTTGTTCAACTTACGGGCCGTATCTAAATGGCCGGTAGGGAATTGGCTTTGTCGAATGGACATCCCATCCTGAGTATGGGGCTGCTGTTGGCCGTTTGAAGTCTGATGGTGTCCATTCTATACAGCAAGGGTTAGCGAGTCTTTTTCGTTATTGCATGGACTAACATCCGAATATACTTACCACCCAGTGGCCTGGTGACCTTTCCTCTCACACCTGCAGCGGGTTTCTCTAGATCGCTACTTGAGGCTTTGGCTGTGCTCGAAGCCCACTTCCGCGAGACTAGGATAACAAGCCATACACAGACACTGAGAATGAGAGAGACATCCACGACTTTTTTCGTTGGGATCGATAAGATAGTTCCCCAAAGGGACTCAGGCACCGACATAACCATAGTGGGACACTTCTAGGTAGTGCGTAGTTTGAGGATCCATCGAGAATAGAAAGTCGTTTTAGTATATAGTGAACCTAAAGCGGATCGCCCTTATCAATTTTGGAGTGCGGAGTAAGATATTAACTGCCTAGATGGTGCTCTAATGCGAGATGCCGTGTTAATCCGATACGAGATAGGCCGCCGTTGGTCAACATGTGAACTGTGGTTGGGAATAGAGATTATCTTGTCTGGGGAAGAGGGGGGGACGGCGTCTTTTTCGAGCTGTCAAATCCGGGACTGCATGCGTTTCTCCATTGTTTGCCTGTTGTTGGCCTCCAGGGAAGTGGAGGGAGGGTTTATCTGCGGAGAAAGCCTAAAGGGTGATAGGGATATTTTGTCCCAATTGGGAAAGGTGACGCTACACTTGTACTTGATAACCTTCTGTGTTACTTATTTGCTTGCAATTAGATGCGAACATTTCCGTGTTGATATTTTACATAATTCTTCTAGAGGTTTTACCCAGCAGGATTTCTAGGTGTATCCTGGATCTATACATGGCCTGCGACTGTTCGTTGGAGAAGACAGTATTCGCCCCATTTGCGTCGGAAGCGGGCTGGAATGACAGGGAGATTAGGAATCCAGATCAATCGACCCAGTAGACCTGTTTGAGACGCATCGAGGAAGTTTGCGCAGGAAAGTGTCTCCCACTGCGACTTGTCCAGGAAATAATGGGGTTCTAGTTCGGTTGCGTCGTGACCAGGGAAGTAAGAGTCAACCAGGAAAGAACATTGAGAGATATCAACCTGTTGTAAAGTTAGTATAGAAACAGGAGTAATCATTCTAGCGCCCCGTTGAAACACTTACGTATTTGCTAGGGTCCTCGATGTTAAGGTCATTCATGCCGGATGGAATCTGTGAGGCCCCATCCAGACGCCCAAGATAAGTCGGCGAATCTGGGAACTCGCCTGGAAGTAGTCCTCGGAATTCGCTTCGGATGAACTTGGCGCGCATGTCGTTGGGAAGGAAATACGATGATGGGAAGCGATACCACTCCTTGCCAAAGCACACCGAGTCTCCTGCATGCGCGATATCCACACGCTGTAGGGGCTCAAACACCTTCAATGGAGCGTTGTACGCCGTAACCATCCCTAGAGTGCGCAGCATGCCGGCATTCAGGCCAACTAGAACAACTGACAGGGCTACAGCAATCTTTAGTTTGGTTGGCACGCGGCCGATCAGCTCCTTTTGGTTAGTAGAGCCAAGGTAGGTCAAAATAATATGGAAGCTCAAAGCCGCGCTAAGTGCCAGAAAGGGGTATGCTGGGTACATAAACCGCTCTTCCTTGTGTGGCTGGACCGAGAAAATCCCGAACCACATGTAGAAAGGAGCGACCAGGGTCATGGACCGCAATGAGGTTTGCAAGGAGGTGGTGTGCGACCGAAAGACAACCTGGAAAAGTAGGAGGGGCGCGGATAGCATGGCAAAGACAAACCAGACATTGAAGTTGAGCAAGAGGTTTCGAATATAGAAAGTCCACGGCTCAGTACCAAAAATATCCGGTCCCTTACCTTCTCCCCCCAAGACGTTGTATGCAACAATGTTCCAAGGGACAAGAACGAGCTTTCGGAAGAAAACATAGTCAACCGCAACTTCAAGAGCCTGCGAGGCATCTTAGTAAAGATGTTGAAACCAAGTCAAATGTCACTTACCAGAATCGACAAACAACGAATGATGCCATCAAAGACATTGTACAAAAGTGAGCCAACAGATCCGGAAATAAAGCCAACGATAGCCTCCTCAGCTAAAAGAGGGACAATGAGGGCACCGGCAAATGGCCACCCAACAATCGTTCCCAGCCCAAACCACATGATGCCCTGCGCTGTCTTCCGGCCATTTTTCCAATCCAGGAACGAAGCCAGACCAAGCATAGACATATACATGGTGAATGTAGAGGGTAAAAAGGCAGTCGAAGCATGAAACATGCCAGGGCTAAATGTGACAATAATCACAAACAAGAGACCGATGCGGGGGCTGAGTGTACGACATATCGCAGAGTATAGTCGAGTCTGGCAGGCGGCGCACATAAATGCAAGAGATAGGCGAATTGTGTAAAATTCGGCTGTTTTGCTGTGCACCACCAAAGACCCGACCTTGCCTACAGCAGCATGGAGCGACACGTAGAGCCAGCTGCGGATAGAATAAATCGGTGAATATTCCCAGGTTTGAAGACCATATCCATGCTGCAGATAATGTGTAGGTTCCCAGAAATTGAATACCTCATCACAATCTTGAATTGGAGAGAATATTGCGGCCAGAGTATTGGTAACTAGGCATAGGTAGAGGGTGATGTTGAGGGGAATGTAAAAGGGAGCTGGTGGGGGTCTAGATAGGTTAGCGTCATGCTTAATCCTGCACATATTCATAGACACACTGCTTCTTTGTACGAGGCTTATGGGCGTCCCCTGAGGAATTGTCGTTCCCTGCCATCTTGCAAGTTGGAGTTATGTTGAGAAGCATCAAATGGATCCATGAACATAGCTGCGATAACCGATAAGACCTTATTGACCGCCTATGTGGAGTCTGGCAAAATAAAAAAAGTTTCCCATCGACTTTTGATCTTCTGAGTTAAATTGCTTTTTATTCAATTAATATTTGAGTTGAAGATTCACTATGGACGGGCATCACAACCCTTCAAATGGAACAGGTGCCGGCGAAGGCCCTGCCCCGAAAAAACCCTGTCTTATCGAGACACCTATCGCAGGGACCCCAGACAACGGCAGCGATTTCTACAACACTCCCTTGGCTGCAGGTACACCAGACATAGGTATAGCCAGCCTAAATTCTGGAAACAGCGCAGCTGAACCCTCTACTTCCTCGAAGCCAAGCCATGTGATCCCCGGATTGAACCTTATCCACCACCCCTCCGAACAAGAAACTGGTTCGCCTTCGATCGAAGAAACAATCAAGAAAGAGGAAGATCAACTAGTGAACCAGCAAGAAGCTGAGACAGAGCTCAAGCAAGATGAAATCCCACACAACTCCCAGCCCGAGTCCACCGACGCAGTTGTGAAGGACGAGACAGAGGCGAACCAAATAAAAAATGAACCCACTGCTCCCCTCAGCGAAGCTATGGATATCCAGCAAGATAACCGCCAAGATAATATGATCGAAGCCACTGGTCAGGCTGGTGATGCCGAAGATGAGCACCCTGAGTGGGAGGTTGATTCTTCCCCATACGAGTCATCTTCAGAGAGCTCTGA